TTTGGTTTGATTATGTATTATTGTAATTGTATTTTTAATTTGTATTATTGTAATTTTTTTAATTATTTATTACACTAATTTACCATATTTATTTTGAGCATGTAATCTGAAGTCCTTCATGAATGTTATTAGTTCACTGCTTTTTTCATTATGTAGCGATGTCTTATAATAACTAAGATTAATAAATACTTACTACTATTTACTCAACAGCTTTACATTTTCTTGTCATAAATTGTATAGACCAAATTATTTATTGCAAAAGACAAGGCAAGTTCAATAGCACAATTCATAGACAGGGAAACTCAAAGTACTTAACAAAACAAGAAAACTTATGAATCATTTTCTTCCCCTTAATCTATTTCTTGGTCAAGGGGGTGGTCAAAGATGCCACCCAGTACACATAGCATCGGCCCCTCACTGATCCTCCTGCAGGTGGTGATTCCACAGAAGGATGGCTGCTCTATGACATAGCCTGGGTCTTTCAGCAGGGGCTTCAGGCAAAGTGGGGTTCAGTGTCTTGCCCAAGGACACAACGACAGCAGACATCAGTGGGAGTTGGTGGAGAAGGTCTTGTGGTGGGCTATGATCCACAACCTCCAGGCTCAAAGGTCAATGCTCTACCAACTGAGCCCATTATGTGGACTTTTCTGTGCTATAAAGATCATTAAAGGGCTATTTTGCAGCAATTTAAAATGGCTACAAGCAGCCCCTCCCACAGGGGACGGTCAAAAAATGCATGTATGCATGCATAAGCCGGTGTTCTGTCGGGTCGTACCCCCTTGTCGAGATTTGCATCCCTTGTGAAATTCGATAGCTCCGCCTATCACTCCTTGTTCACCCCTTGTCGAAATGTTCATCCCCACCCCCCGAAACCAACTTTCCATTGCTAAATGATTATAAATGTTTATATCAAAAAGGACGGCATATTCATAATTAATTAGATTTAAGGAAATGCTACAAAATGGAGGTTATTTTGTTAATCTAAAAGGAGTGCACCCCAAAAGTGTGTCAAAATTTGCATCCCGTGCACCTGCTCAAAAAGAACACCCCACACCACTTAATGAACCAATGTTTGAGCTGTTAAACATAGTATGCATGGATGTGTAAATATTATTATTATTATTATTATTATACACAAACAGAACAATGTTGCCAATATCTCCATTGTGAGATGAATAGCATGTAGAACGCTGCACCTGTACAGAACACAAAACCACAGAATTTCATCACAATGAGTTTTATTCTGAGATTATTTTGCATATTTATTGCAAATAAAATACTATGTAGTAGTCCTCCATGTTCCCTGCAATGCAACCGATTGAAAATGACCAATGATATGGTTATCATTAATTTACATATGTCTTGCAGATTTACCTCAACTTGTTCATTTTAAGATTTGAAAATATATCTTTAACAAACACATGTTTATGTATTTTGTGAAAAAATTAGTTAGATTAGTTGATGAGTTGTTCAGGAGTTTCTCACAAATTCCCTGGGCATTGGTTGGGATGCAGTCGCACCAAAATTCAAAGCAGTTTAACAATTTCATAATCTGAAGAAACGTGCAAGCCACAGCAAAACAAGCCTTTTCCATTTCATTTGGAGAGGTTTCGATGTGGCTCAAGACTCTTTTTAGGAGATGGGCTTCAGCACTCTGTGAAAAAGAAAAATTAAATTCAATATTTTCTGTTATGTGTGCCAAATAGTCTAAATAGATATTTACCATTAATATCAAAACCCCAGCTGAGTCTTGTTGTCTTTTGTGCCCTAACGTTGTAATTGACCACTTTTTATTGTCCATTTGCTCCACTACCCTCAAGAAGTTCCTAGATCAAACACAAGTCATTTTAATTTATAGTTCTGAGACGGATTAATCAGAGATTAAGAACCTCCAGTTTCTGAGAATTGTCCACTGATATGTTCCCTCATTTGACAGCGGGTCGATCAGTTGTCTGTCTGTCATGTGAATGACCTAAGAATGTCAGAGGCATTTTATATTAATCCTAGGGCTGGGACTCGATACATTTTTTTTATCTAATTAATTGGAGGCTCTGGAATGAAATAATTGCATTTTAATCGTATATAAATATTTGACTTGAGAACAGTGAGAGGTAATTTTTTCCCCATCTACGGGGCAAACTCTTTGTTCATGTTCACTGTGCCACTGGGGTTTGTTGTTGTCTGAACCAAATTGGTGCTCCAGTACAATCGGTCGGTGAGGCCCCGTCCACAAATATCTGCTAAACCGCAAATTATTGTCTTTGTTTGCAGCTGTCATCCACAAAACAACGCATCATAAACGAATATATAAAAAACTCCGGGCAAAGTGAAGATTTTTGAAAACTCCGTTTATGCATTTGCGTGTGGACAGAGATGGATTTCGCGTTTTCGCACATCACAATATACAACAAACAAAACGTGCGACCTCTGATCACTGAAGAAGCATGGATATTACTGCCTTAAAAACTGTCAGAGAGCAGCTAAGTGATCAGTGGGACTAACTCTTGAAAACAACCAAAACAGGAGCTAAACCAGGATTAAACCAGGGCTGAGGACGGGGGACACAATGCTTGGGAACATATGTCTTCACCCTGACTGTAAAAGTGCCGCTACAGAAGTACCGGCGTTAGCATCAAAGCTCCGCCCACTTCTGTGTTTTTCCCCAACACAGGACGTCGGAGGACGTACAATTTTGGAATGTGATTGAAAACGCAGATGTTCGGTTATGTGTGGATGCAAATTTTTTTATAAGAGTGGCACGGTGGCTGAGTGGATGGCACTCTCGCCTCTCAGCAAGAAGGATCTGGGTTCGAATCCCAGTCGGAACAGTGGAGTTTGCATGTTCTCCCCGTGTCTGCATAGGTTTCCTCCGGGTTCTCCGGTTTCCCCTACCAAAAGTTAAAATACAAACGAACTCAAACAAAATATTTAATTAGATTGAGTTTTTTCCCCATTCTGCCGGGTTTCTGCGCATGCGCAAATCAGATCAACTCGAGGACTGCTATCACACAGTAGCAGTGTAGTTTCACAGGAGCAGTTGACTGCTTCAAACAAACTTTACACAAAACTCTTACTCTTAAAACCCATATATCATAACACGGAACCATCAACATTCACCTCAAATTGCATTAAAAGTGACATTCGTGTCTTAGTTCGTTCGTATTTTAACTTTTAAAGCAATTCACAGACTTCATGTCCGCCATCTTGATTTGCTTTGGCTGCCGTGGCCAGCCGTGCCGTGGTTTGCATTACATCATTAACAGCTGAGGCGGAACAACCATAGACTGTAAATATTAACGGACGTAGTCACGCCTATCTCCACATCTATCAACCACATCTTCAGAGCAGTTCCCAGCTTTGCAAATTCTCTTCCAAATGCCTCTAAACCACTATTTTTTGCGATGTACCCGAAGTTATCAGCTTTACTGCTCAGAGCACACAGGGTGGGGGCCGTCTGTGTGTGAGACAGCCAAACGGACAGAGCCAAATGGAGTTATGCAGAGTCAGAGAGAGAAAGAGAGCAACATTTCAATAACAGCTCAGCTTTAATTGTCTGTAGGGAAATTATTCAATTTCCCAAAGTTAAGTTCAGTCAAATTCAAATCCACCTTTTGACTTCAACATTGACACAAAGATGTCATCTGCTTATATATATATTAGGGCTGTCAAAATTATCGCGTTACCGTTTTCATTAACGCGTTAAAAAAAAAAAAATTAACGCATTAACTGCCATTGACGTGTTAAGACGTCAATTGCGTTTCCCGCTATTTTCACGTTCCCAGATGTCTATTGTATCAAATATGTAAGGCTTGAGGCAATATTTTATCGAGCCAGCAGATGGCAGCATTGATCTATGAATGGTTTGAAAACAGCTAGAAGCTAATTAAAAGATAATAAAACTTTCCTCTACTCGACTGGGGATTACAGGGGAACGAAACAAGCTAGAAACTAAATTATTTTTGCTGATGAAAGCAGACAGTCCATTCTTTCAGATAGATGGATGGTCATAGTACACAATATTCTGTGGGTCTTAAAAATTCAGTAAAAATCATCAGAAACAGCTGGCAGTTGGGAGTTCTGAAATAGGCTGGCAGTCAATCACATGTCCGAATGACCCGCCCATTTATAAAAATATCAATCAGAATGCCGTGGACACATGCGTGTGTATGATGGTGACAGCGGTAACGTGGTCATATAATACACGCATATATATATATATATACGCACAGGGGCCATTCTCTGATGTTGTGTGACACACGGAGGAGAGGAGGAGACACGCTGAAATGCAACCAAACTCGCAAAATTAAAGCTGGGGTACCTACATTTTCCCTTTCATTAACTCATTGAGTGCCAACCACGTAATTTTACGTTCAGCGCCCCCATGCGTTGAGTGCCAAAACGTAATTTCTCGGAAATGCTTTTTTTTCAATTTTTTGAAAGTAGACATCCTGACACACATTGTGTGTAAATTTGGGAATGCTATGATTAATTTAACTGTTTATATAACGATCTAAAACTCATTAAACACTTAAACGTGTGTTATTTATAGTTCATAACGCAGCTTTGAGTGGTTGTCGCATCGCCTCATATAGTCTTCTTGGGCGGAGGTCCAAAAATATATTTATGTGGGTTTGTCACTAGGTGGCAGTCTTGATTCATCCTTTAGCGGAAACTTCACTGATACATTGTTTTGCCAGCTGCTGACAGAGATGGGGAGAAAAAGTCAAAAAAAGTCTGTGCGCTTTCGCCAAACAACGCTTGATGAGCGCTTTTTACAACACAGAAGTGAGCCAACTTTAGGCACTCGTACTCAGGAGGAAGGTGTTCAAGAGGGAGGCGCTGGGGAGGGAGGCGCTGGGGAGAGAGGCACTCAGAAAGCAGGTGTTCAGAATGAGCGATCACCACGGGCTGGTCCGAGCGGAGTAGTCAAAGATAGGAACCAACTGAGTCGCGAGTGTAAGCGGTCGCGCATTGATGCCACTGTCTGCGAAAAAGCAGACATGTCCGAGGAGGAGGAGGAGGAGGAGGAGGAGGAGGAGGAATTATGGATCCCCTCCCGATCACCCGCAGCAGGTAAGATAATTTAAAATGTTGCCATAAATAAACTCTATCCCGCTGCTGATTGTACTAAACATTTTCTTTGTGATTCCAGACACTGACTCTGATTTCGGGGACGCGTCAGGAGAGGACGAGTCGAGGCCTACAACCCCTTCTAACTTCGGTAAGAACATGCATAAGTACAACTATGTATAAATATGTTTTACAATATAATGTGGGGTGTATGTGAATCATAGACTATGTGAATGTAGGTGTTCCACAAATACGTTGTGTTTCACAAGTGTGGGTGTGTGTATAATATATAATACGTGCGTGTGTATAATATACAATATGTGGGTGTGTGTATAATATATAATACGTGCGTGTGTATAATATACAATATGTGGGTGTGTGTATAATATATAATACGTGCGTGTGTATAATATACAATATGTGGGTGTGTGTATAATATATAATACGTGCGTGTGTGTATAATATATACAATATGTGGGTGTGTATATAATATATCATTCGTGCATGTGTGTATAATATACAATATGTGGGTGTGTGTATAATATATAATACGTGCTTGTGTGTATAATATATAATACATGGGTGTGTGTATGATATATATAGGCTACATGCAACGGACAATGCATTGAATAAAACAACATACTCTACTTACTCTAGAATTGGGTGCAATACAAGAGCCTGACTTTGAAAGGATGGAACCAGTGAAGCCTTCAAAACAGAGGGGTGAGTCGACCACCTCAATCATACACATACACATATTTACATGATAATAATTATTTATCTTTATAAAGGTCGACAAATGGAAAGGGGTGCTCGTGCCAGTCGTGGACGTTCATCTAACCGGTCTGCATGTGGTAGCATGCAGACAGAATGGATGAAAGAGGACTGGTGTCCACGAGACATACCCTTCACTGCCACTCCAGGACCACGCGGTGCAGCTGCTCAACTGACATCTGACAAGCCCATAGATTTTGTGAACTTGTTCATAACAGATGCATTGCTGGAGACAATTGCTGAGCAAACCAACCTCTATGCTGAGCAAACCAGGATTGACTCTGAGGGGAGCAGAGTGCATTCTTGGAAGAATGTGACTGTGGAGGAGCTCAGGCGGTTTTTTGGTATTTTCTTTCTCACTGGCATTATCAAAAAGCCTTCCTTGGCTAGTTATTGGAGTACAGATGAACTACTCGTCACACCCTTCTTCTCCAAAACCATGCCACGAAACAGATTCCAACTTATTTGGAGGTTTTTACACTTTAGTGACAACCAGGCTATCGATGGCAGTGATAGGCTGTATAAAGTCAGGCCTGTGTTAGACCAGGTTTTGTCTAAGTTTGGTGAGCTTTACCAGCCCAACTGTGATATTTGTATTGATGAGGGCATGATGGCTTGGCGTGGACGCCTCACTTTCCGAGTTTACAACCCCCAGAAACCCATCAAATATGGAATAAAATCATACATAATCTGTGATTCAGACACTGGTTACTGTTTTGGGATGAAACCATATTGCGGGGAAGCGGGGAACCTGGGGGACACTGTAGTTACCCTCCTTGACAGGCTGGCTGGGCAGGGATACAAATTGTACATGGACAATTTTTACAACTCTGTAGCACTTGCTGACCGGCTCCTACAGTTAAAAACCCACATTTGTGGGACACTGAGAAAGAACAGGGGGGAACCACAGGCTATTACTAGCATTTCCAACTCTAATCTTGAGCCAGGGGAGGTCATTGCACTTCACAACAATGTGGTCATGGTCCTTGCATGGAGGGACAAGAAAATTGTAAAAATGATCACCAGCCACCACCAAGATGAGATGGAAACATCAGGGGTGTGGCGAAGGGGCCACAGGGAGAGGGTACCTGTCCAGAAGCCGACATGTGTAGTTGCATATAACAACTCCATGAACGGTGTTGACAAACTGGACCAGAATATTGCATACTACCCATGCATTCGAAAATCTGCAAAATGGACAAAGAAATTTGTCCTTTATTTGTTTCAGATATGCCTTTTCAATGCATTTATTCTGTACAAATGCCGAAACCCCCAAGGACAGCACAGGAAGCTTCTTACATTCATCCACAGTGTAGTGAACTCGCTGACTACCCGTCCATGTGCCATAACTGAGGAGGTAGTGGACATTGGAAGGCAGAGAGAGGTTGCTAGGGCCCCAAGTACAGACCCTGATAGTAGGCTGACTGGTGGCATTGGAGGTCACGTGATGGCAAAATTTAGTGCCACTCCCAAGAAGCAGAATCCAACCAGAATATGCAGGGTGTGTAAGATGAGTGGACGCAGAAGTGAAACAAGCTTCTACTGTACATCGTGCCGTGTTCCCCTTCACCTCAAAGAGTGTTTCACGCTGTACCACTCACAGAAAGATTTAGTTTTTCAAAGCATATAGATTGATTCGCTTGAAGCCCTTTCCTTTTTTTCTATCTTTTTATTTTTTATTTAATTTCTATTATATTACTATAAATAAACATTTGTAATATAATAGTACATTCATATTGTTGTTGCAATAAATTTTCATACGGATCAAATTTAATCTCCAGTGTAAAGGCGGTATAAATATGTGTTTGGATGGAATTAGTCCTTTAAAAATGTGTTTTTTTTGTAGTCTACCCTACTCCTATAAAATATCTATCTTATAAATGTACGTGGACCCAGAAATGTAAGTGTCAGAAGAACTACACCCTCAAAAAAATGATTTTTCATAAAAGGGTCTCTATCTCCTTTTCTAAGAAATTCACAAGGATTTTCATGAAAGTTTCCCATCTTTTGCTTAGGATATCTCAGGAGCAAAAGCCGGTAGAAACGAAAGGTTTTCACCATCTGAAAGTTTAAAGCCTCACCTTTCAAACGCAGTATAGCATATGATTATGACAATAACACAGAATATGCTGTGGCTCTGCAAATATCAGGAAAAATTGACAAAATGGCTGGCATTCTAGACCCAAGCTGTTTAAACCAGGCTGGCACTCAATGAGTTAACAGCTCTTGTTGATTGTACCCAAAAGTAGAAGGTTGTGAGCAAGTCAAACAGATTTAAGTACATTTGGTATCAATAACAATGTGTCATTACATTTGAAAATGTCATTTAACTTCAATTGGAGTGGATTTGAAATAGAATGTTAAAAATGCGATTAATCGTGAGTTTTATCCATTACTATGCGATTAATCAACTAAAAAAAATTAATCGTTTGACAGCCCTAATATATATATATATATATATATGTATACAATAACAAGACAGGCAGAGAAAAGGCAGCCAGCTTTAACTATTTACAGAGAGCTTTGTGTGGGAATGGCCATTTTACACTTTACATCTCATTACTCATAACCCCGGAGCTCTTCTAATAACAGATAACCAACTATACCCGCTATAATTTTTTCCCGATAAAAAAACACTTAGTATATTGCATATGGATGGCTCTCTTCATACTTGCCAACAAATACCCTATGTATCAAAAATGATACAAATCAATAGTCATATTTGCAGATTGAAAGTTTATTTTTTGATTTATATTTATGTTACAGGGCTCAGTAATCTTACCAGTCTCCAAATATGAAAATTTTCTGGCAATTATTTCATGGTCCGGGCTTTATAGGGTTAAGTCACACTGACTTTAAGTCCGAGTTGGTACCAAAGGTTGAAACTAGTGTTACGGAGGTGTATCAAATGTATACAGTATATTGTAGTTTTAGTTCAGATGCAGCGGCTCGCCCGGATCCGGGTCCCGTACGAGCGTACATTGAAACCAGAGTAACAACTGACACCCAAACCTCAGCTACAATACAGCCGATTCAAAGTGTTCACGCGTTTAGTTTGTTGTAGACTAATAAGTGGATTATCAAAGATAATGCTTACAGAGCGCAGAGGGATAATCAGTCAAAACTCACCGGATACAGAAGCTCCAGTCCACTTGAGTATTTCAGAAACTTCTGATCTACTAAGATTTTCACACACAACCATCTCGAGGGTTTACAGAGAATGGTGCGATAAAGAGAAAATATCCAGTGAGCAGCAGGTCGGTGGGCCTTGTTGAGGCCAGAGGTCAGAGGTGAATGACTAGACTGGTTCGAGCTGATAACTCGAACAGTAACTCAAATAACCACTTGTTACAACCAAGATATTCAAGAGAGCCTCTCTGAACACAGAACACGTCAAACCTTGAGGCAGATGGGCCACAGCAGCAGAAGATCACACCGGTTGCCACTCCAGTCGGCTAAAAACAGGAAATTGAGGCTACAATTCGCATACGCTCACCAAAATTGGACAAAAGAAGATTGGAAAAAGTTGGTCAGCCTGGTCTGATGAGTCTCAATGTCTGCTGCAACATTCAGATGGTCGGGTCAGTATTTGAAGTCAACAGCATGAAAGCATAGATTCATCCTTCCCTGTATCAACGGTTCAGGCTGGTGGTGGGGGTGTGATGCTGTGGGGGATATTTTCTTGGCTCTCTTTGAGTCCCTTAGTACCACTTGAGCATCGTTGCTACGCCACAGCCCACCTGAGTATTGTTGCTGACCATGTCCATCCCTTTATGAGACCACAGTGTACCTATACTTGGGCGGCACGGCGGCTGAGTGGATAGCACTCTTGCCTCTCAGCAAGAAGGTCCTGGGTTCGAATCCCGGTCGGGCCAGGGCCTTTCTGAGTGGAGTTTGCTGTTCTCCCCATGTCTGCGTAGGTTTCCTCCGGGTACTCCGGTTTCCCCTACCACTAAAAATATGTACAATTGTAAACCGCTTTGTGACTCTGGTCTGTGAAAGGCGGTATATAAATAAAGATTACTTACTTACTTACTACTTCCAGTAGTTCACTTTGGAGAGACCCAAGAGGGAAAATGCAGTTAGAAGTTTGTTGATTGAGTATGTTTGGCGCCCTAGGCCCGGGAGAGATGCTGATGAGTGCGGCGCTTGCTCGCGCGCATAATCCCCCCCCGGGGCCTAGGCACTGGTGACGGCAGAGGCAGTAGGCAAGCACGCTTCGATGAGAGAAGGAGGAGGTGGGGCGGCGGAGGCTTTGCAAACTTCAGAAGGCCGGAAAGTGGGCGTCTCCGGCTTTTAACTTGCTGTCCTGGTGGTTATTGGTGGATTAGATGTGGGCGTTTTGCTGGTGTAATGAGTAGAGGATGAGCAGGCTTGTAGATCTGGCAGCAGTGGCCGGGTCTACCACAGTGAACTTTCGCGAAGAGCTCCATTTCACTTTGGAGAGACCCAAGAGGGAAAATGCAGTTAGAAGTTTGTTGATTGAGTATGTTTGGCGCCCTAGGCCCGGGAGAGATGCTGATGAGTGCGGCGCTTGCTCGCGCGCATAATCCCCAAAAACGGGCAGAGATATCTTTGCACGCCGGGACGTGAGCGCTCGCATCACGATTTAACCGGACGCTGACTGGGACGTGAGCGCTTGCATCACGATCGATACCAGACGCTGTAGCAGAGTTATCTTTGCGCGCCGGGACGTGAGCGCTCGCTTCACGATCAACCGGACGCTGCCTGGGACGTGAGCGCTCGCTTCACGATCAACCGGACGCTGCCTGGGACGTGAGCGCTCGCTTCACGATCGATACCAGACGCTGTAGCAGAGTTATCTTTGAGCGCCGGGACGTGAGCGCTCGCTTCACGATCAACCGGACGCTGCCTGGGACGTGAGCGCTCGCATCACGATCGATACCAGACGCTGTAGCAGAGTTGTCTTTGAGCGCCGGGACGTGAGCGCTCGCATCACGATCAACCGGACGCTGTCTGGGACGTGAGCGCTCGCATCACGATCGGTACCAGACGCTGCGGTGAAGTTATCTTTAAGCGCCGGGACGTGAGCGCTCGCTTCACGATCAACCGGACGCTGTCTGGGACGTGAGCGCTCGCATCACGATCGGTACCAGACGCTGCGGTGGAGTATCTTTAAGCGCCGGGACGTGAGCGCTCGCATCACGATCAACCGGACGCTG